TCTTTTTCATAAATCTCTAATAATATGTGGGTCCTACATATCAAACAGTAGTACTTTTATAGACTAAAGTTATATTTTCCTCACATAGACGCTGGCCAGATTACGTAAGGAAAATAAACTATTGGAGCATACATATACATGTGCATCATCCATTGAACATCCCCAAAACATGGGTGGACTGATTGCTTTTTTTACTACATCCAGAATAGTTACACAATGCATTAGGGGCAAAATAGTCTTTTTGCCTCACACTTAACTTTGTTAGTGCCAAAAATGGACGGAAGTGTCATGTAAGGAACAAAATTTACATTAGGTGTCAAATAAGGTAGAAAATTTTATTTTGGGCCAAATAGGGAAGCAAATTTTAAGAAAGGGCCAGATAAGGAATTCTCTCTTCTTCTTTACCAATAGAAGCATCATTTTATGGTGTGATGAGAACATATTTATTTCATATTTATCAACCGTATTGATAGAAATATTTTTTGCATCGATAGAAGCATTATTTTTATATTATGGTAGCAATTTGATGCTTTGGAATATATTTTGGTGTAGCGGAAACAATATTTGCGTTTGATGGAAGCACTTACTTGTCGCTAAGGTAAGTAGTTCGCTATGAATAACAACTCGATTTGACCAACGTCAAAAAAATGAACGTACATAGACCACGTTACCATGATTGGAGAAAAATGAAAATATTACATAATCGTTTACTGAACAGGCAGCATTCTGTTAAGCAAAATGTTGGCCGCGCAGAGAGAAGTTGTCTCAAGATTACTGGAAATAAAATAAGTAAATTTAAGATGATAAGCTCAGTAATGTTTAGTGTAGGAACAGTTGAGTGTCCAGTACTGGAAACAAGGATTTTAGGTTCAGTAATCTCCATAAAGCACCGGAGTGCCGAAGTGTTGATCTTCAATTCTTGTCGCGGGCGCGAAGTGCAAAATCTGGAGGTACAGCGAGTTGAAGCCAAAAGTGAAGGATACAGGTACAGAGTGTAAGAGGATTTGGCAGTTGGTAGATGAAACACTGGTTTAATGCGATGCGGCCCGAGTTAGAAGTACAGGACGACACCAATCAAATACGAATAGATAAAATATAGGTGTGACAGAATATAGGAGGGAAAGTCAGAATACTGATAGCAGAGGGGGAGATCGGGAGGGTAATGAATGGTGAGATTTCAGGGACAGATGTCCCCATGAACCAACATGAATTTCCCTCCATCCCCTCCCCCCCTCTCCTCACAGCATTTTGTCAAGATAGGCAACTGTCTAGCGCCAAAGAGCCCCAGATACTACCCAAACATAAGGAACCATACTTCCACCAAGTCTTTCTCCTTACATGACCAAAATGAATAACAACTCGATTTGACCAACGTCAGAAAAATGAACGTACATAGACCACGTTACCATGATTGGAGAAAAATGAAAATATTACATAATCCTTTACTGAACAGGCAGCATTCTGTTAAGCAAAATGTTGGCCGCGCAGAGAGAAGTTGTCTCAAGATTACTGGAAATAAAATAAGTAAATTTAAGATGATAAGCTCAGTAATGTTTAGTGTAGGAACAGTTGAATGTCCAGTACTGGAAACAAGGATTTTAGGTTCAGTAATCTCCATAAAGCACCGGAGTGCCGAAGTGTTGATCTTCAATTCTTGTCGCGGGCGCGAAGTGCAAAATCTGGAGGTACAGCGAGTTGAAGCCAAAAGTGAAGGATACAGGTACAGAGTGTAAGAGGATTTGGCAGTTGGTAGATGAAACACTGGTTTAATGCGATGCGGCCCGAGTTAGAAGTACAGGACGACACCAATCAAATACGAATAGATAAAATATAGGTGTGACAGAATATAGGAGGGAAAGTCAGAATACTGATAGCAGAGGGGGAGATCGGGAGGGTAATGAATGGTGAGATTTCAGGGACAGATGTCCCCATGAACCAACATGAATTTCCCTCCATCCCCTCCCCCCCCCTCTCCTCACAGCATTTTGTCAAGATAGGCAACTGTCTAGCGCCAAAGAGCCCCAAATACTACCCAAACATAAGGAACCATATTTCCACCAAGTCTTTCTCCTTACATGACCAAAATGAATAACAACTCGATTTGACCAACGTAAAAAAAATGAACGTACATAGACCACGTTACCATGATTGGAGAAAAATGAAAATATTACATAATCCTTTACTGAACAGGCAGCATTCTGTTAAGCAAAATGTTGGCCGCGCAGAGAGAAGTTGTCTCAAGATTACTGGAAATAAAATAAGTAAATTTAAGATGATAAGCTCAGTAATGTTTAGTGTAGGAACAGTTGAGTGTCCAGTACTGGAAACAAGGATTTTAGGTTCAGTAATCTCCATAAAGCACCGGAGTGCCGAAGTGTTGATCTTCAATTCTTGTCGCGGGCGCGAAGTGCAAAATCTGGAGGTACAGCGAGTTGAAGCCAAAAGTGAAGGATACAGGTACAGAGTGTAAGAGGATTTGGCAGTTGGTAGATGAAACACTGGTTTAATGCGATGCGGCCCGAGTTAGAAGTACAGGACGACACCAATCAAATAGGAATAGATAAAATACAGGTGTGACAGAATATAGGAGGGAAAGTCAGAATACTCATAGCAGAGGGGGAGATCGGGAGGGTAATGAATGGTGAGATTTCAGGGACAGATGTCCGCATGAACCAACATGAATTTCCCTCCATCCCCTCCCCCCCCCTCTCCTCACAGCATTTTGTCAAGATAGGCAACTGTCTAGCGCCAAAGAGCCCCAGATACTACCCAAACATAAGGAACCATACTTCCACCAAGTCTTTCTCCTTACATGACCAAAATGAATAACAACTCGATTTGACCAACGTCAAAAAAATGAACGTACATAGACCACGTTACCATGATTGGAGAAAAATGAAAAATATTACATAATCCTTTACTGAACAGGCAGCATTCTGTTAAGCAAAATGTTGGCCGCGCAGAGAGAAGTTGTCTCAAGATTACTGGAAATAAAATAAGTAAATTTAAGATGATAAGCTCAGTAATGTTTAGTGTAGGAACAGTTGAGTGTCCAGTACTGGAAACAAGGATTTTAGGTTCAGTAATCTCCATAAAGCACCGGAGTGCCGAAGTGTTGATCTTCAATTCTTGTCGCGGGCGCGAAGTGCAAAATCTGGAGGTACAGCGAGTTGAAGCCAAAAGTGAAGGATACAGGTACAGAGTGTAAGAGGATTTGGCAGTTGGTAGATGAAACACTGGTTTAATGCGATGCGGCCCGAGTTAGAAGTACAGGACGACACCAATCAAATACGAATAGATAAAATATAGGTGTGACAGAATATAGGAGGGAAAGTCAGAATACTGATAGCAGAGGGGGAGATCGGGAGGGTAATGAATGGTGAGATTTCAGGGACAGATGTCCGCATGAACCAACATGAATTTCCCTCCATCCCCTCCCCCCCCCCTCTCCTCACAGCATTTTGTCAAGATAGGCAACTGTCTAGCGCCAAAGAGCCCCAGATACTACCCAAACATAAGGAACCATACTTCCACCAAGTCTTTCTCCTTACATGACCAAAATGAATAACAACTCGATTTGACCAACGTCAAAAAAATGAACGTACATAGACCACGTTACCATGATTGGAGAAAAATGAAAATATTACATAATCCTTTACTGAACAGGCAGCATTCTGTTAAGCAAAATGTTGGCTGCGCAGAGAGAAGTTGTCTCAAGATTACTGGAAATAAAATAAGTAAATTTAAGATGATAAGCTCAGTAATGTTTAGTGTAGGAACAGTTGAATGTCCAGTACTGGAAACAAGGATTTTAGGTTCAGTAATCTCCATAAAGCACCGGAGTGCCGAAGTGTTGATCTTCAATTCTTGTCGCGGGCGCGAAGTGCAAAATCTGGAGGTACAGCGAGTTGAAGCCAAAAGTGAAGGATACAGGTACACAGTGTAAGAGGATTTGGCAGTTGGTAGATGAAACACTGGTTTAATGCGATGCGGCCCGAGTTAGAAGTACAGGATGACACCAATCAAATACGAATAGATAAAATATAGGTGTGACAGAATATAGGAGGGAAAGTCAGAATACTGATAGCAGAGGGGGAGATCGGGAGGGTAATGAATGGTGAGATTCCAGGGACAGATGTCCCCATGAACCAACATGAATTTCCCTCCATCCCCCCCCCCCCCTCTCCTCACAGCATTTTGTCTTCTAGCGCCAAAGAGCCCCAGATACTACCCAAACATAAGGAACCATACTTCCACCAAGTCTTTCTCCTTACATGACCAAAATGACAAGAGGAAGCAAAGAAGATCATAAACTAAGTGGATAGAGAAGCTGCAGCATGTTTGGTCTTCAGGAGCCTTCCAACCTAGGCAGCCCCGTCGTCCATCCATGCGCCGTCTTGAAGATCTCCCTAACAAATCTATTTAATGGTGGTTGCATATCTAGCTTCCGAACCACTTTGGTTATTGTATATCTAAATGACTCGAACAAACAGAAAAAAATATCCACACGAATCTTCATATAAAATCAGAGACGTAAGTCTTAAGGCACATCTAAAATGTGCTTTAGCAAAACCGAAAAATATACCACTAAAAAGAGTTTCTTTTTTGCAGGGGGTCCTAAATAGTGCTTAAAAAAATGAGTAACGCTATAGCGGGTGGTATTACACGCCCATACGTACGTAATATGTGTGCTGGATACTGGATGGAAGACGTACACCATCCAAACCATGGACAATAAGTTAGTAACCGTGTGCTAAGTCTGCTGACCTGAATTGCTCTCGATCCACCTCTGCAAATCGGACTACGATCCGACGCCGTCAGGGAGACGATCAGACGAGGAGAATCCCTCCCGTACGTGCCATATAATCCTGCTCCTCCTCCGTGTCTCTACGACCGACCCAGCACTAGTCGTGTCTACCTTCCGATCAGCTGCTGATTCGCCGGCGCTGCCTCAAACCCTTCGCACGCGAATCGCCGGCCGTCGCCTCCCTTCTTTCCAGATGGCCTTGAACGATGGCCTCGCCAGGTTCAGGCTGCAGCAGGAGAGGAATCAGACGATTCTGTCCACAATCGCCGCAACCAAAACCTCTGCATCATCATCCACCAATCCGTCCCGGCACCGGCAGCAACCCGCTCCAACTCCAAGGCCGGCGGCTAAGCCATCACCGTCCGCGCCTGCTACTCTCAGATTCTCCGACGACACGGCGCGGCTACAGAAGATCAACGAAGTGAGGACGTCCACCGTCGGATCACAGCTCAAAAAGGTAATCCACCTGCTCGAGGCGACGAGGGAAGCTCTTACGTCGCGTCAGATCAAGGAACAGATCTACGTTGACATCGACGGCAACAACGACGTCGCCGAGAGCCTGAGGAACAACGCCAAGGTGCGCTTCGACGGGCGGCGCTACTCCTACAAGCCCACGCACGACCTGAAGGCCAAAGGCGAGCTGCTGACACTGATCAAGAGCTTGCCGGACGGTCTCCCGGTTTCGGAGGTGAAGGACGCCTATCCAGCCGTGCACGACGACCTGCAGGCCCTGAAATCTTCGGGTGATATATATCTGCTACCGGGCGAGGGAGGCATCATCGCGTACCCGAACGACCCGAGGTCGAGGATGGAGGTGGACACCGAGCTCAAGAAGCTGTTCCACGACATCAAGTTGCCGCAGGACATGCTCGACATCGAGAAGGAGCTCCGGAGGAACCGCGAAAAGCCGGCCACCGATACTATGAAGCGGCGGGCGGCTGAGCAGGTCCATGGTCATCAGCCGAAGCCGAAGAAGGCCAGGAAGAAGTCGCGCGGGATCACCAGCAGGACCAAGCTCACCAACTCTCATCTCCCGTGGCTCTTGGACCTGCCTGTGGACTCCAAAGATATCATCTAGCTGTTGGGTGTGTAAATCATGTAGTAATAAAGCACTTGATGGAGTAGAATTTGTGACTTGACGAATCTACTCAAAGCGATATAAGTTCAGAACTGCTATTCTTTATGGAATTTACTTATGGAGAACTACTATTTACAACAAGATGGTGTTTTGCAACAACCAAGTGCTCTAAGATACCCCGCAAGAAAAAGTGCTCTAAGTTTACAAAATCAAGTGTTTGAACACTCTAACCGATTGGCTAGCCTACAAGGGAAGTTGTGGCTCCACACTCTACCAGGGAAGCCTACAATGATTTTGGAAAAGCGTTTGTACAGCTGCATATATTAATTAAAAGGGCAAACTGCAAAACAATACTTTGTTTCGATAAATGATGGATTCTACTGACTTCAAATGAAGCATCAAGGATACAAATACAATAAACACACGGTCGGTCTCTATATAATTAGGGTCCGAATAACTGCCACACGTGTGGCGTCGATAGGAACCCGCCCGCACGCCTCGTGCGGCATAGACGGGGATCGGCCCGCACGACCACGTCCGAGCGCACAAAAGCACGGCCTGCACGTCCGGTGTGTGGCAACCCCGCCCGCACTGCCCGTCCGGGCCAGAAGACCGGCTGCCCGCACGACCCAGCCGATCCACGCCTCCGATCCATCCCCTCTCTCGTACGCCGCCATCGTCCCCCACCTCTCGAACCCCGACATCCGTCGCCGGCCATCCCTGGTTGCCATGGCAACCAGGGCAGATCCGTAGGGCGCTCCGACCCCAAACCACACCCTAACCCTTCTCATCCCCAGCCGCCCACTCCAATCCAGCCCTCCAGACACGATCAACTAAAACCAGGTGAAAAATCTCGATCTCGTCCTTCCCTCTCATCCTTAAGGCTGAAAATCTCCCGATCTTGTACTGGGTCCATACTATAGGGGTAGAACACTGCATGGTTCGGTGTATATTCGCAATTGCCAGGCAGAATACACCAGATCTGCCATGTACTACGTTTGAGGTTAACTTAGGTGCCTAGTTTAGGCACTTAAGTAGTTGGGTATGAAATGGATGAGTAGGAATCCCTAAAAAAGGGCAGGAAGGACGATTTTTTGAATGAAGAGGGTGGGAAAAAATAATTGTCACTTGTGTGTAACGACAGTTGCCGCTTGTGTATGATGACAATTGCCACCTATTTTGACCTGTTGCTTGCCATCCCTATCTTCCATGTGCAAGCAGCAGAAGAATACAAATTCTCGTGGATTATTGATGCCTTTTTGATCATCCAGTGATTGAGAACATGTCGGAAAAGAACCGAGACGCGGAAAGGATGAATCGCGAAGGTGGCGCTGATGCTTGGGGTTCTAAAAGGCCAGAAACACCGCCTTGGGATGCAGCAGAGTATAGTCAACTCATCTCTGCAGGGCCGTTGCTGCCACTACTAGAACAATATGCAGGCGTAGGTATGATGCGTGGTAACGAAAAGAAGAGAGCAGTTGCCAACTTCGCAACGATGAAGATGACATTCTACTTATGTCCTACACTCCCATTTTTTTGCAGGTTCTTATGACCAAAACACTCTCAGGGGGCCCCATGGCAAGTTCAGTCACAAGGCGCTAACACTGACATATTTACGGGCAACCAACCTCAACTAGCTAGTATGGCTAATCAAGGTAATGCAAAACCAAAAAAGAACACATACTTCTGTGGACGTGAAAAATGGACATGCAAAAAAACTGGCAAGAGGACTCACGAGTTATCACGGGTGAAAATGCAGGGCCTTCATGCAGCACGTGGCATCAGCCAGCACCCATGTACCTGCCATCGACGTCATACACAGGTCAGTCCATAAAAAAAGTGAAGTTGCGGATGTTCAATTAGCAGAAGGGGCATAGTTGGCAGCTCCAAATTGCCATGACTGGACTTCTACAATTGCCATGAATTTAAAACTACATTTGCCATCCCTGGACAACTGTTGTTGCCATCAGTGGACACTTGCAGTTGCCATGGAGAAACAACTGCAGTTGCCATGCCAGAGCAACTACAGTTGCCATGTCATCGCAACTGCAGTTGCCATGGAGGAACAACTGCGGTTGCCATGCCGATGCAACTATAGTTGCCATGCCAGTAAAACTGCAGTTGCCACATCAGGGGCGACTGCAGTTGCCGTGCTAGCACAAACTGCAAATTGCCATGAATTGACCAACCACTACTATGCTTACAGCGTATTACACTGGTGGTGACACGACAATCGTCCCGTGGCGAGCTTCACAAATTGCAGGTGGAGCACGACATTTTGGTGTCACAGACCACACAAGATGGCCAAATGCAGCACAACAAGGTAAGGAAAAAAATGAACCACAAAAAACATCACTACATTTGTTGTTTGTAGTTTTTTGTAGGCAAAACAATAGTTGCCATGTTTGTTGAACAGTACCTGCCATGACTGGACAGCTACAGCTGCCACACATGTCCACACGCAGTCTCACGGCTTGCTGTTTGAAAATATGTCGTGCCAAATCAATCGAAGATGGTGTGATCCGTTGTGATACACATCTTATTCAACCAAAAAATCTTACTCTCGTGCTTGTTTTTTCTATTACAGAACCTACAACTACAGTGAATAGCGGTGCGGGGACATCTACTGCGGGGAGCTCTGAGCGCACGGAAGACGCGTTCCACCAGCCAGCAGACTGTCATGCCGCAAACAATTTCGAGTCAGAGTCGGGAATGGCAATCATTCCAGCAATGCCGACGAGCACCCCTTTGAACACAAGCACTAGCAACACTCGAGTAGATGGAACTGCCGTCGATACTGAAGCGAATGATGAAACTGACGACGACGCACAAGAGGATGAAGATGGTGGGCAATCCGAGATCGTGGTACCTCAGCCACCATACATTGGGCAGAGATTTGGATCGTTCGCAGAAGCAAAGGAATACTACCAGGCATACGCAAAGTTCCATGGATTTGCGGTCAACACCGAGTATCATAGGAAAATTAAGAAAACTAATGAGTACAGCAGAGGTGAGATGAGGTGCCACAAGGCACGGAGGAACAAGAAGGGGAAAGGTGTTGCGCCTGTCGTTCCGGAACGAAAGAGAGGCATCATTCTCAAGACGGGGTGCCCTGTCCGGTGTAAGCTAAACGTAGATGGAACAACATGGGTGGTCAATGAGTATTTTGACGAGCACAACCACAAACTCATAAAGAAGTTCGACCTGGTGAAATTTCTGACCGCCCACAGAGGGTTCACCCCCGTCGAAAGGAAATTCGTAAAGCTGCTACATGATTGTAACGTCGGTCCATCAAGAATGGTATAGATACTATCTCTCATCCACAGCAAAAAGGGGACTCTGAGTAGCATGCCGTACATACCAGCTGACGTCACAAACCTACAGGCCAAGTACCGTAGAGAGAGCAAGTTGGCAGACATAGAGGCCACAATAGCCTACTTCGATGCGAAAGCAAAGGAAGATCCAGATTTCTTCTACAGGATAAGGTTAGACGATGAGGACCGTGTCAGGAACATGTATTGGGTGGATGGTGCTGCAAGGAGAGCCTACAAACATTTCCGAGATTGCATATTCGACGCGACGTACCTCACCAATATGTACAAGATGCCATGCGCTCCGTTCATAGGAATAAATAACCACAATCAGTCGTTGCAGTTTGGATGCGGCCTCGTCCGGAACGAAGACACAGATGGGTACGTTTGGCTGTTCAAGACCTTCTTGGAGTGCATGGATGGACTTGCTCCGATGAACATAATAACGGACCAAGATTTCAGCATGCGTGCAGGCATAGAGGAGGTCTTTCCGTTGGCAGTGCACAGGCACTGCAGGTGGCACATTATAAAGAAGGCTGAGGAGACGCTAGGACCGTTCTTTGCCGACCGTCCAGAGCTGCACAAGGCATTCGAGCTGTGCGTGGACCACAGCTTGACGGTGGAGGAGTTTGAAAGGAACTGGATGGCCATGACTGAAACACATCAAGTCCAGGACAACGAGACTCTTGTTAGCCTGTGGGAGAAGCGAATGTACTGGGTGCCGGCCTACTTCATGCAGTGCTTCTTCCCCTTTCTGCAGACTACGCAGCGCAGCGAGGGGTTCAATGCTGTTTTAAAGCGGTACGTCAGCCCTGACAACTCATTGCTACAGTTTGCCAAGCAGTACATAGCTTTGCAACAAAAAATTCTGGGATCTGAGCTACAGCAAGAAGCGACCACAGCCCTAAAGCAGCCAAAATTGCTAACGTATTTACCGATGGAGAGGCAAATGAGCAAGATATACACCAACAAGATCTTTAACAAGTAAGTCAGTTGCATTACAGTCTTATTTGCATAAAAAGCACCAAGTCAGTAGGGGCCTTATAGAGTGCAATGCAGTTGCCATGACATGCAACTGCCATGTTTAATGAAATACTGTTTGCCATGCTTACTCAGATGCAGTTGCCATGTTAAAATGAAAATTTTGTTTTGGCATACTTGCTCGGGTGCATTTCCCTTGTTGAATGAAGTGCAGTTGCCATGTTTTATGCGCTGTGCTTCCATTGGAGCATGTTGGCATGCAAATGCCAATGTCAAAAAATGCTAAAAAAATGTTATATTGGCGACACATATGCTGAAATGCAGTTGCCATGTTTAATGAAATGCATCTGCCCTTTTTTTTGAAATGCAATTGACATGTTTACTCAGCTGTAGATGCCATGTTTAATAAAAATGCAGTTGCCATGTTTTATGCAATGTGCTTCCATTGGGGAATGTTGGTGTGGAAATGACGATATCTAGTTGAAAATGTACTGCAATTGCCATGTCTGTTGTACTGCAATTGCCATGTATGTTGTAATGCATTTGCCATGTGTAGTGTACTGCATTTGCCATGTTCAACGTAATATATTTGCCATGTTCAATGAACTATGTTTGCCATGTTCAAACAAAATGTATTTCTATTTCCATGACAACATAAGGGTGTACAAGAAAAAGATCGCACAAAAGTTTAACAGAAAACACACAAAA